TCAATGAGAGATAAAAGTTAAAAGAGCTATCTGTGAGATAAATAATTTCTATGAAGAGATCATGGGTAGAATCTCTAAAGGTGCATGTTGAAGTCAGAGAAAGAGAGAATCACAACCGAATTGCTCGTTTTGCAGTAAAACCTTCATAACATTCTCCATTATAAAAAAAAATAATTTGTTATGACCTAAACAGGAAAAATTAAATACTAGTATGATATTTTATTTTTAAATTTGAAAAATATTGTTTTGATAAAAAAAAACTAATGAATATTTAAATTTAATATCGATATAAAATTTTTAGGAAATTGAAACTGATCAATTTCATTTGTACTTTTTACCTGAATTACAAAAGATTGGTTATGATGGTGTATTTAGTCCAAAATCACGTGCAAAAACAATGTGTGAACAAGATCGTCGATTTGTCGACGGTTGTGCTATATTTTATCGTCAATCCAAGTAATAAAAAAGAATTTTTTTTTGTTTTTGTTCAATAATTTATTTTTTTTGTTATTTTAAATAAAGATTTCGTTTAATCAAAGATTATCTTGTCGAATTTAATCAATTAGCAATATTAGCTGCAAATGGTTCAGCATGTCATGAGATGATGAATCGTGTTATGACTAAAGATAATATTGGTCTTGTTGCATTACTTGAAACAAAAGAAGAAATTTATTCTCATACATTTTCAAATGGTAAAACAAATGAAAAATATAATATTAAAATATTTTATTTTTCAAATAAAAAAAAAACCATCTCTTTTAGGTATTTTACCATCTGATCATAAACAAATGTTATTCGTTTGTACAGCACATATTCATTGGGATCCAGAATATAGTGATGTAAAAGTTATTCAAACATTAATGTTATTATCAGAATTAAAAACCATTATGGAAGATGCAATGCAAAAACATCGAAAAATTTCAAATGCATTAATTGATTGTGCATCTGTACCATTAGTTCTTTGTGGTGATTTTAATTCATTACCTGATTCAGGTAAATAGAAAAAAACACCAAGCACGAAAAATAATTTTTTTTTTGTAAATTTTTTTCAAAGGCGTTATTGAATTTATGCGTAATGGAAAAATTTCAATGAATCATGCTGATTTTAAAGATCTTTCTTATCAATCATATTTACAAAAAATTTGTCGTGCTGATGTTAATTCAACACAAAGTACTGATATAATACATCATTTTAAATTACAATCAGCATATGAAACAACATCATCTCCTATAATGCCTTATACAAATTATACGTATGTTGCTTATTTTAATTATTAGGTTGTTTTTATATTTTATTTTATTCTTTGTTTTAGATATGATTTCAAAGGTATAATTGATTATGTTTTTTTTTCATCACGATTAATGCGTGTACTCGGTGTATTGGGACCACTTGATCCTGAATGGTTACAATCAAATAAAATTGTTGGTTGTCCACATCCAAATGTTCCATCAGATCATTTTTCATTACTTGTTGAATTTGAACTTGATCCAACTATATCTGATATATCAACAAATAATAATAATAATTCCAAAACCTCAACAACAACAACAACAACACCATCTATTCCTATTCGAAAATAATAATAATAATTGCAAACAATTATTATATTAACCAATTTAAAGTAACAAAAACAAATATATATATATATATATATATATACGGTGAAATCTCAGGGGGGGCACACAAATGGTCATCTCGATTTTTATTCTTCTATGTATTTATGTGTCTGTATTATTCTATGTGTCTCTCACTTTAATTTCTATTTGTATGTATGGTCTTTTCGATTTGTATTCCAGTAGATGTCTGTATGTATCTCGAATCGTACAAATCATTAAAAAATGTACATTTCCTTTACTTTTGTGTTCTTTTTTTATACTGACCATAAAAGTGTTTTTTTTGCCCATCATCAATCGTTTTCATCATGTGACAGAAAAAAAAAGAAAACGATTCAACTCATTAATACTTTTTCATCACATACAAATACAAACTATTTGTTAATTGAATTTTTTTTTCTTCTTGTTTGTTTATTGTTGTTTGCTCGTCAATTGTTGGATTTTTTTTTTCTCTTGTCTTTTTCTATCTAGAAGTGCGCATATGTGTATTCGACGACAATTAAAGAAAAAGTCGTCTAATAAGAAATAATAAACATAGTGAGTAAAAACGAAAAAAATAAAAATAAAACTAATGATAGTTAAGCTGATATAAATCGATCAATAAGATCAAATGCAGCTCTTGGTTGATCAGCTGGTACCATATGACCAGCATTTCGAACCACAGCAACATAAAATGAATGTGCTTGTTTTATATAACCAGCTACTTCTATATCATCATCTTTAACTTTCCAAATTTTTCGTTCAGCATTACGAAGTTCATCAGCATATTTCCATTGAAGTTTATCAATCCAATCCATAGTTAATGATGATGCTATAATAACATCGAGTA